CAGTCTATTCTCTCCTCTTTGGGAAAAAAAAAAAAAAGGTACATTTGCCCTTCTCTGATCTTACAGCACTTCTCCCATTTTTCAGGATCTTTTCATTAAGACTGATAGTTACTGCACCATTACATACAACGGTTATTCTAGGAACTAAGATCATAGTTCATACAGTTCAGGTGATTTGCATTCTTAAGGGCAGCTAGTTAGGACTTTACAATGTCCTTACTTACCTGGGGTATCAACTCCCTGTTAGTCATTTTTGTTCTGTCATTTCCAGTGCAAAGTTCTTTCTCCTTTGAAGGAACAAAAAAAAAACACAACAAAAACACAGAAACAAAATAAAATTTGAGCAACTCTGCTTTTCTCTTTTGTCAGCTATCACTGTCCCACCCAGCAGAGTCTATCCCATCTTTGATCTTGTTTCTGCCAACATAGAAAAACATACATGTATATATGTATGTATGTACATATATATATACACATATGAGAGTGTCCTTGTCATTCAAGCAAAAGAAATCATATAAAAACTATCTGCAGACTTTAAGGCACTGTACACTTTTTAGCTGTTGCTCAGGCTTCTTAAACAATGCCTATGCTTCTGAATCATTTCCAGGAATCTCTATTCCTAGGACCAGAGACAGGCTCTGAATTCCCCTGTAGAGGTTACTACTAAGCAGAGGGGATTGGGAAGGAAGAGGATTTTTAAGCTCTACTGTGACTTCTTCCCTCTCTGGAGGAGCTATCAGGAATATCAGCTATCTGGAGGAAGTAAGTTAGTTAGGCAAATTAGGGTGAGGAAAGGAAGGGCATAAGTTTCTCTCCTTTGCTTAACAGTTCCCAGGTCTCAGCCAGGGATCTAGGAATCCCCCACAGGGCCTGAGATGGGGCGTAGCAGAGGTGAAAAGACAATGATGAATAAAGGTAGAAAGTTAGTCAGTCAATGGGCATTTATTAAGTGTTTACTATGTGCTAGAACATGGGCAGCTAGGTGACGCCATAGTGGATAAAGCACTGAGCTTGGAATCAGAAAGACTCATCTTCCTGAGTTCAAATCCAACCTCAGACACTTACTAGCTGTGTGACCCTGGGCAAGTCATTTAACTCTGCTTGCCTTAGCGTTCTCATCTGTAAAATGAGCTGGAGAAGGAAATGGCAAACACTCCAGTATCTTTGCCAAAAAAACCCCAAAATGGCCTTTGAACTACTAAATAACAATGTGCTAGATTCCTCCCCTCAAAGAGCTCACATTCTAATGGTGGACATAACATGCTAATTAATATCATTGTAATAATATAATTATTATAATGATAATAATATATAATGATAATAGAATTATAATAATAATAATAATAGACATGAGAGGTGTATGTCTACCCAACAGACAGGATTTGGAGCCCATGGGGATGGAGAGACGTGGGGAAGAGAACTAACCAAAGTCTCCTTTCCTCTCCTTTGAGTTCGGAAGTAGAGTTTGCCACACTCAAGAGTGAGATTTTGGGAGCAGGGGTGAGGAAAAGGAGGACTTAGACCACAATAGCAATTATTATACAAACAATTATTTTACAAGCATGCTAATTGCTGGGGAAACAAAGAAAGGCCAAAAGAAACCAGTCCCTTGTCTCCAGGGGCTCCTGGTGGAGTGGATTACACTCACGGGAAGCATGATTTGGGGGAGCGAGAACTGAATGTAGATGAAAGGCTGAGCATTGGGGTTGGAATTTCAGCTGTTACTCACCATCAGCGTGACCATGAGCAAGTCTCTTAAAGTCTCCGTTTCCCAGTTTATTTATCCTTCAAGTAAAGGGGTTGGATTAGATAATAATAAAAGTCCCTTCCAGATATCAATCCTTTGACCTATGATCACACTACACAAAGGAAGGAAATAACTTCTTAACACTTAGAGCTTTTCCTGAGGTGGAATGGGCGGCCCCTTGGGGTAGTGAGCTGCCCATCACTGGTGGTCTTTTGGCAGAGGCTGGATGCACCAGTTCTTGAGAATGTTATACAAGGGACTCATGATTTGGGCTGGATGATATTTTATCCTCCTCTGATGTCCTCCAGAGGACCTGCTAAACCCTCAAAAATGGACAGAGGACTAGAGCTGGAGAAGGATGGGAAGATACATAGGGGTAGGAGCAGGAAAAATCCAGAGGGAGTGGGGATGTTGGGAGTCAGGTGTCAATAGAGCTGATCACAGGTCAGGGCATGTGCCTGCCCAGAACAAGGATGAGAGGTGGGCGTGGACAGCTGCCCATGGAACTCTCCACCAACTGAAAGTCCAAAGACCACAAGGCGTGGCTGTGGCTGCTGCTGCCATCGTGTTCTTGCAGCCTGGGAAAGAAACCTCATTGTCTGCTGGGTGGGGCTACTGCCATCCTGACTGCTCCCCAGCACACACTTGTCTAGTGGGCTGATCCACGCTTCAAGGAGTCAGACGCATCAGCTGGACTTGTGGGGTCTGGGTCCAGAGCCGCAGGTAACAGGGCCATTGCGGAACGGGGAGTGGGGAAGGAAAAGAAGGGAGCCTGGTGACCTTGGAGCAGTGTCTCACCCTCTCTGGGCCCCAGGAGCCTGTGTTCTCACAGATCAAGGACCCTCAGGGGTCTTGACTGTCCAGGTCCACTCCTGATCCTAGGAATCCCAGAAGCATAGTCAGCTCTGGGTTTGATTAAGAAGCCGCTGCTTGAAAGAACAATGGAACCCAGACCCAGCCCTGTCACTGAGGGTCCAAGGGCATAAGGTGGGCTGCATCCCCTTGGCCTAGGATGATTGATTGGGAAAGCCCTAGCCCCAACCCAAAGAGAGTGAACTGAATCCCAATCCCCTTACACCTAGCTGGCAGATTCCAGTTGCTTCAGCTCCTGGGTGGTCTTTTCATCCAGTCCTAGGGGTAGACATTTGGGTCACAACATCAGTGATTTTCCCTCTGGCCTCTTTCTCACTCCCCAGACTTTTCCTAGATAGAATCAGGGATTTCAGACTGAATAGGGGTCTGGGGGTTCAGGATAGGATGGAATGGGTGAGTGGGGCTTTTGGTCTGATATCCACTATTACCAGATACTTAGATTCCTCTCTCTATCTCTATAATCTCTATCAGCCTAACGTCCTCCTTAGTCCTCAGTCTCCCTTGCCCTGAATCTCTGCTTTCTGGGGAGCAGCCATTGTCCGAGGACATAGGAAGTATTGGCTATGCCCTTTGTCCTATCACCAGTTCCTAGATTATGGGGAACTCTTATCACCAAGTGTTTCTTAGCCTCTTCCCATGAACAGAACACACAGTATAGGCAAAGAGGACGGGTGTCCAGGCCCCTCATCTCTCCCCAATAGGCAGGACTCAGAACCCATGGGGATAGAGGGACGTGGGGAAGATAATAGGACAAGGTCTCCTTTCCTCTCCTTTGAGTTTGGAAGTAGAGTTTGTCACACTCAAGAGTGAGATTTTGGGAGCAGGGGTGAGGAAAAGGAGGACTTAGACGGCGATAGCTATTATTTTACAGCACTTTAAAGTCTGCAAGATGTCTTACGTATTATCTCAATTGACCCTCCCAAAAACCTGGTGAGATAGGAACTATATTATCCCCATTTTACACATTTAGGAAATTGAGATTGAGAGAAATTAAGTGACTGGCCCAAAGACACACAGCTTATTAGTATTTGAGGTAGGCTTTGAACTCAGGTCTTCCTGACCTGAGCCACCTGGCCACCTCTATTAGGCACTTACCTAGGGGAGAAATGGGATCCCTGGGTTCTTAAGAGACTTTGTTTTGTTTTGGGTTTTTTGGGGGGGGTTTTAGGCAATTGGGGTTAAGTGACTTGCCCAGGGTCACACAGCTAGTAAGTGTCAAGTGTTCGGTGTGAGGCCGGATTTGAACTCTGGTCTTCCTGACTTCAGGGCCGGTGCTCTATACACTGCGCCACATAGCTGCCCCAAGAGACTTTGACCTACATTGTCTAGTGGGGTTCCCAAGGCAAGAAAGGGCCCAGGGAACCTATCTCCTCTCTTATCCCCTTAGTTTTTGTTATTGTTAGTAATTGTTATTATTGTTAGTGATTATTATTGTTGTTAGTAATTGTTATTGTTATTGTTAGTAATACATTTACTTTAACCAAAAGCATAGTGTTTTTATAAAAGCTCAGATAAATAAGTTGATGGTCCTCTAATTTATGTTTTTCCCAAGTTCCCCCAGTACCTTAGTAGACACACACACACACACACACACACACACACACACACACACACACACCCCTCTGAAATGTCTTTTCTGTCCAAGTAATCCATCATTCTATCTGTAAGATGGAGAAATTGAAGACTAGAAAAGAAAGAATTTAATGGTACCCTCACTCCAAAAGTTCCACAGAAGGCTGCTCCCCACCCCATCTAAAAACCTTTGCAAGCAGGAAAGCCCCAACCTGGTCATTAGTCACTGATTCTAGGGTCATAAATTGTACTCTAGGCCAATGTTAAGGGCTTGGCGCCTTGATCCATAGCACATGGTAACCTGGGCCCCTGCTTCCTGACCCTTCTGAGCTCTTGTAGGGAAAGGAGGGGCCTCAGCCTATGGTCTTTTGAATAAGTTTTGCAAACCAAATGTTGGGAATTCTGTCTCCTCAGAGTTTTAGGGTTATCCATCTGGAGCTAGAAGGGACTTCTGGGGCCCTCTAATTCCACCTCCTTATTTTACAGATAAGGAAACTGAGACTTAGGGAGTTGAAGTGACTTGGATTTACACCTAATTCTTTTGACTCCAAAGTCAGTGTTCTAACACTAAGGGAGGATACTGCTTCCCTCTTACAAACCCATTTCTCTGATGTTCTGGTGTGGTCTCTTCCCCTCACCCTCCAGATAGGACATTGGCTGCTAGGCCCTGCCCCATGAAGAGACATCCAGAGTCTTTGTGGGAAGGGTCTCAGGAGACAGAAGTTTGGGGGCTGGAGATTAGAGGAGTCTTACTTCTTGAGGCTATCAGATGGTGGCCTGAAAGGTCAATACCTGAAATTTTTTCCCTAGATTTCCAGAGCAGACCACCAGCATAAAGGATGGATTATGTCACTCACCAGGATGACTGGTCCCATCAGTGAGTCCCAGAATTTGTCAGACTCCCCAGACTCCATCACTCCTTTCCAAAGTTTCATTTCCCTTCCCAATGGTTTTCTTTCCCCTTCCTTCTCCCCCATCCCTCCTTTCTCCTCCTCCTCCTTTTTCTCCTCCTCCTCTTCTTCCTCCTCTTTCCCCTTCCTTTTCTCTTTCCCCTTCCTATCAAGAGTCTATTCCTTTCTCTCTTCTTGGGGGCCTATTCTAGTGTCTCCAAGACCCCCCCCCGCCCCTCCCTTTCGGACCTTTATCTCTGTATATCCAGTCCCCCCATCGCCCTTTTTGTACCCCACCATCTCCTGGGCACTGATCATATCTCTTTTTGGGTTGGCTTTCCAGACAGCCCAGGTCGGCCCTCAAGAGATCCAACAGCATATCCAGACCCAGCGGCAAAACCATTTATGGTAAGCTCCTCCTTCCCCATCCTTGCCCTGCTGTTCTCCTTCCCTTTCCTCCCCTTTCCTGTCACCTCCCACCATTTTCCTCCCTACTTCCCTTTCTGCCTCTTCCCCTTTCCTTCCCTTCCATACTTCAGTCCCTGCACCTTCCCTTCCTCCCCCTCACCCACACTTTGTTTCGCCCCACCCCCAGTCTCCTGACCTCCCCACTACCACCACCACCACATCCCAGCCCTTTCCCTTCTTTATCTTCTGCTCTTACCTTCAGAACAACGGAAAGAGTACTCTCAGACCATGGCTGCAGAACCCAACAACCTAAAGCAACGAGTGGAGGTGAGAACTGCTGCCCCCCAACACACACATACCCCTTAGGTCCCCCCCTGGCCCCCCAGAGGGTGTTTTCTTCTTCAGATTAAGCATGTTCAGTATTTTCAGTTAATCCTCACATTACATCATCCCAGGGACTTTCAATTTATCAGTGTCCTTTCTAATTTATGGGGGCCAGAACTGGATACAGTGCTCTGGATGTGGTCTGACCACGGTGAAAGACAGTGTTCTATTAATACCAATAACTCCCATTACATCGTAATTCGCTAGAACTGCTAGTTCTAGCTTACACATAAAAGGCTTTCTATAATGACTTATTGTCATTGATTATTTTAACCTGATCATAAAACTTTACATTTATGCCTATTAAATTTCATTGTGTTATCTTTAGCTAACTGTTACATCCTATCCTTTTGAGGTAAACTATTCTGTTAATCAGCATAGTAAGTATACTTCCTTCCTTCAGAAAGTGAGGGATGTTTGTTTTGTTTTGTTAAAAAAAGGAAAAGAGCGTGTCTGACGAAAGAGAGAAGGTGCTTTCAGAGAATGAGACGGTGATAACGCTAGAGGGGGGGGGCTAATTGTGAGTTTGAGGAGTCAGGAAAGACTGGAGGATCTGACTACAGGTGACAGAGTTAATTTTAGAGAAGAGAAGAAAAATCCCTTTAGAAAAACTAAGCCTGGAGGGGAAGATGAGGGAACAGATGTAGGCACAATGATTGACATGTTGGAATTAGAATGGGAGGACAAGGAAAGTTCACAACACAGGGTCTAGATATTTTCTGTCAAGCATGAGTTGAGGGGCAGCTAGGTGGCACAGTGGATAGAGCACCAGACCTGAGTTCAAATCTGGCCTCAGACCAAACACTTGACACTTACTAGCTGTGTGACCCTAGGCAAGTCACTCAACCCCAATTGCCAAAAATAAATAAAAATAAATTTTGAAAAAAGCATAAGTTGAGGTCATCTGCACAAGGTGGGCTAGGGGAATGGAGGAGGAAGGAAGAATGAGAAGATCAGGAGAAGAGAAGGTATAGAATAATCACTGTGGGAAGAAACCAAAGGAAAAGAAGGATTGATGAGCAATGATGAGGGGCAGGTTGTTGTCATCTTCCCTTGGTGTGAATCTGGCCAAGTCCACATAACTCTTAGTTATCTTCCAGCAAAGAAGTCCTGGACGGTGGCTTGGAAGTCAGCAGGCATTGTGAAAGTATAGAGGAGCAAGGAAATCTTGGATTACAATTACTTACATTTATATAACCCTTTCAAATTTACAAAGCACTTTTCCCTCAACAATCCTGTGAGGGATTGCATACTACAAATATTATTACGCTCATTTTACAGATGAGACAACTGAGGCTCAACGGGATTAATTGGCTTGACCATACTTAGGCAGCCAGCAAGTGTTATAACTAGGTTTTGAACTAACATCTCCAAGTGGAGGGGCAGGGGTGGGAAAGGAAGGTTGAGGTGAGCTGTAGTCCATCGTGGCCAGGAAAAAGCTAAAGGGTTGGCTGAGACAGGAGGGATTGAGTGGTTTAAGGTCATGGTTGGGGAGGTTTGGTAGGTTTGATGTGGAGTTGTTAAAACATCAGTAAGTGCCTCAAGGGATTAATTCCTAGTGCTTAACACAGTGACTGGCACATAGCAGGCACTTAAATGTTTGAGCAGTGTGGGCAATGAAAGGAAATGATCTTTACTATGGAGCTGGCTGTACCTTGTGATGATAATGATGGCTAAAAATCATTACTATTTATAGAGTGCTTTAAGGTTTGCAAACTTTAAGGTTTGTACACTTTACATTTTCTCTTCCCAACAACCCTGAAAGCTAAGTGCTATTATTGTCCCCATCTTATAGATGAGGAAACTGAGGCAGATAGATATTAAGTGACTTGCCCAGGGTAACCCAGCTAATAAGTTGGGCTGGATTTCAATGCAAGACCTTCTTATTCCATGTGCAGAGCTCTATCCACTGTACCACCTAGCTGAGGTCCAAGAGGGTGGCTATGCTAGAGGGTGGTTGATATTAGCAGATCTGGAGGTCCTCAGCATCCAGGAGGTGAGATCAAGTCTGAAGGCATGGATAATGATGGTATAATCCACCCTTCCTCTAAGAGATGGGTCAGCAAGAGTTGAGAGGGCCCAAAAGCCAGAGAAGAGGGGGTCAAGGGGAGAAGATCCAGAAGCTGCAAGTTCTTCCATTCCACTGGCTGGGAGGAAGGGTAGGGTCCAATGGAGAAGGAAGAAACAGAGATAAAGAATGTGAGCCAAGTGTTAGAATCATCTAGCAATGTGAAAGTGAATCATAGGTCATGGTCATAGACCATTGGCACAGACAACAGCGACAGCAATCAGATGAAGGTAATACACACAAATAATGTTGCTAAGCACTGGGGGAGAGTCAAAGTTTAGATAAAACACCGTCCCTACCCTCATGTGGAAAGATAACTGGTTTTGTAGTTAAAGGACCTGGGTTCAAGTTCTACCCTTGATGCTTACTACTTGTATGCCCTGAAACAATCCCCTTCACCTCCATGGCCTTCACTTTCCTCATCTGTAAAATGGAGGGATTGTATTCAGTGACCTCTGAGGTCCTCCCCAGCTCTAAATTGATATGATGATGAAGTGTAATCTGGTAGAAGACATGACATCCATCAATAACAATATGTCAATAGCATTATTTGTTTAGAACTCCCTCCATAATCTGTGACTTAAGAGATAAGACTTTGGGAGTTGCCTGAACTTGAGAGAAGTTAAGAGATCTGCTCAGACTCACTGAACCGGTAGGTGTCAGAGGTGGGATTGGAATCCAGGTCTTTCTGACTCTGCATACAACACTCATCACCTATACCATGTTGTTGTTCAATTGTTTTTCAGTCGTGTCCAACTCTTTGTGAGTCCATTTGGGGTTTTCTTGGTAAAGACATTAAAGTGGTTTGCCATTTTCTTCTCTAGCTCATTCCACATATGAGGAAACTGAGGCAAGCAGGGTGAAGTGACTTGCCCAGGGTCACACAGCTAGTAAGTATCCGAGGCTGGAGTTGAACTCAGGAAGATGAGTCTTCCTGACTCCAGGCCAGGCACTCTACCCACTATGACGCCACTTAGCTGCCCCTCCCCATACCATCCCACCTCCATAATACATGCTAAGTGTATCATTGAGTTACAACACAGAGTGGGATGTGATTTTCCCGACGGGGGATCAGAAAAGGCTTAATGGAGGCATTGGCATTTGAACTGGGCTTAGAGGATGAGTAGGAATCTACCCGGTGAAGAGGAAGAAGAAAGATACTCTAGATAAAGGGAACAGGGTGAACCATGACACAGGCAGGCAAGCACAGGCCGTCTGAGAGGAGGGGTCCAGTCTGTCCATGCCCACAGAATACATGGAGGGGAGAGACAGAAGATAAGGCTCCAACGGTACAGTGCCATCAACTACGGAGGGCCTCAATGTGAGGGGAAATTATTTAAAATTTACTTAGTAGGCCAGAGGAAGCCACTGAGTGTTGGTTTTTTGTTTGTTTTTTAATTTGTTTGTTTGCTTGCTTTATTTTATAGAGGGGTAACAAGACCAGATCTGTGTATATAAGGAAGGAATCTGTATATAAGGAAGGAAGGAAGGAAAGGAGATGATGAGAGACAGATAGACAGAGAGACAGAGACAAACAGAGGCAGAGAGAGGGGGGAGAGAAGAGAGAGAGAGACAGAGGGAGACAGACAGAGAGAAAAACAGAGAAAGAGAGAGGAGAGAGACAGAGACAGAGATGAGAGAGAGAGAGATCATATTTGTAAAGTGTTTAGCATAGTACCTGGCACACAGTAGGCACTTGTCATTCCCCCCTGCCCAATCTTGGCAATAGTATAAGGGATAGAAAGAGTGTATGTAGGAAGGAAGACCTGTTGGGAGGGTATTATAACAGTCCAGCGGCGATGAGGGCTTATGCTAGGTTGCAGTTAGAATAAAGAGGACAAATGAGATGGATATGACTGGTAAAGGTGGGAACAACACGTACTTGATTGGATATGAATAGTGAGGAATGGTGGCGGGGTGGGGATAAGCATTTATGCAGTGCCTACTGAATGCCAGTAAGTGCTTTTTTACAAATATGAATAGTGAAAGGAAGATAGGAGCCGAATGTGGAAGAGTAAGTGAGTGATAGGACCAGCAAAGGTACCACATGAGGGAACCTTCTAATTTATTTTTGCTTCTTCCCCAGTGCCCAGCTTGATTCTGAATGCAGAGTAGATATTTAATAAATGGTTGATGAATGAATATTATAGAAGTTTGAATGATGAGAAAATGAGAGAGGGCCGTGGTTTGATGGTTCTCAGATGACAGTGGGACCAAACAGTAAGCTCACCTCTGAGCCATTTAAGTTCTCCTTGGAAAGGGTAGAAGTATTGCAATTCATGGAAAAGGGGGGAGAGAACAAGCATTTATTAAGTGCCTATTGTGTACCAGGCACTGTGCTAAGTGCTCTTTTACAAATATTATTTCATATGATGCTCACAACAACCCTATGAGGTAGGTGCTATTATTATCCTCATTTACAGATGAGGGAACTTTATGTGCCCAGAGTCCTACAGCTAGTAAGTGTCAGTTAGGATTTGAACTCAGATCTTCCTGACTCTAGGCCCAGTGTACTATAAATCAGGTGCCTCTGGTTTGGACAAGCGACTGTCTCCAAGTATTTGCAAGATGTGGAATAGGGAAAGACCTTTTTTCTGCTTAGCCCCTGAGGGCAGAGCTAGGAGTAATGGGAGGCCAACTTCGACTCAATGTAAGGCATCTGGTAGCCGAACGGCGAGGCAGCTAGGGGGTGCCAGAGTGCACAGAGCACTGGCCTGGAATTAGGAAGATCTGAGTTCAAATGTGGTTTCAGACTGCGTGATCCTGGTCAAGTCACTTAACCCTGTTAGCCTCAGTTCTTCTATCAAATGAGCGCAATAAGGAAATGGCAAACCACTCCAGTATCTTTGCCAAGAAAACCCCAAACTGGGTCACAAAGAGTTGGACACGACTGAACGACAGCAAAGCTACAGGGCATAGGGCACTGGACTTAGAGTTAGGAACAACTGAGTTTGAACCCTGCCTTAAACACTTACTGTGTGATCCTGGCCTCTCCTAGCCTCAGTTTCCCCATTTGTAACATGGGTTTCACACTGCCAGGTCCCTTTAGTGTGACTAATGAATCCACATGAAATATTCACATTATCTGAATTTGTGCTCCATATTTCCACTGGGCTGGGATAAATTACTATATTTTACATAATTAGAACTTTGAATGGAGTAAATTCAAATGCATGCCAATGCTTCAAGTGACTCATTATTCTCACTAATCTGTGCCTGGCTATAACAGCATCTACCTCAGGGCCTTATTGCAAGGACTAAGTGAGATAACATATAATATACTGCTTTGAAGCAGTACACAAACTGTCTCAAAGGTCTTAATGCAGTATTAAGCTGAGAACTGTACTAAGACCTTTGAGACAGTCTGTATAAATGTCAGCTCTACGCTAGGCTCCTTCAAGCTGGAGTCAGATCGCTCACTCAATCAACAAGCGTTTCTTAGGCTACTGCTGTGTGCTGGACAGTGGATGGCCAACTGTCAGGGACTCCTGTTCAAGTAATAGGTGGACTAATGACGGCGAGCTCCCTTCCAACCCTGAGGATCTACAATTCTGAGAACCCAAGTGTGTGCCGAAGTAGGGAAGGATAGGGGAGATTTGAGGGTTCCGACAGAGGCTATAGGTTTGTTCACAGAGAGGTGGATGTGGGTAACAGAGGTGATCGAAGCATTAGTATAGGAGGCATTATGGGGGTCCATGTTAGAGGCAGGAAAGGGAAGTGGGTGGGAGAGGACAGGGAAAGAAAGAAAGAAAAAGAAAGGAAGGAAGGAAGAAAAAGAGAAAAAGAGAGAGAGAAAGGAAGGATGGAAGGAAGAAATGGGGAGAGAGAAAGAAGGAAAGAGAGAGAAAGAGAGAGGAAAAAAGGAAGGAAGGAAAGGAGGAAGAAAGAAAAAAGAAAGAAAGGAAGGAAAGAAGGAAAGGAAAAGAAGGAAGGAAGGATGGAAGGAAGGAAGAAAAAGAAAGAAAGAAAGAAAGAAAGAAAGAAAGAAAGAAAGAAAGAAAGAAAGAAAGAAAGAAAGAAAGAAAGAAAGAAAGAAAGAAAGAAAGAAAGAAAGAAAGGAAGGAAGGAAGGAAGGAAGGAAGGAAGGAAGGAAAGAAGGAAGGAAGGAAGGAAGGAAGGAAGGAAAGAAGGAAAGGAAAGGAAAGAAGGATGGAAGGAAAGAAGGAAAGGAAAGGAAGGAAGGAAGGATGGAAGGGAGGAAGAAAAAGAAAGAAAGGAAGGAAGGAAGGAAGGAAGGAAAGAAGGAAAGGAAAGGAAGGATGGAAGGAAGGAAG